CAGAGATGCAGATACCTGGGCCCAACGCCAGGCCCCAGCAGCCCATTTTCATCAACAGAGGACCCAAGCGGCCCCGGGTCCTGCAGCGTGGCAGGGTGAGGCGGCCATCTTTGGCAGGTGCTTCACTAGAGGTGTGACCCCTTCCCAGCTTTCTCGCGAGAGCCTAGCTGTCGCCAGGTCCTTCCCTGCTGCCTGAGGGAGGCTCACTTCCTGGCAGGCCTGTGCTGCGCCCTGCAGTGCCCACAGCTGTGGGGAAAGGCACTGTGGGTCAGTAGATGCTTGAAGAAAACAGGAGCAGAGTGGCTCTGGGGACTGCCTTGGATGGAGTGAAGGTGGCACAGAGTGGGCTTTTCACACCCGATGTCCCACGCAGTCCTCCTTCAACATTCCCCCTTAATTTTTGAGCTACATCCCCAGCCCTTTTTATTTTGAGACCAGGTCTCGCTCAGTTGATGAGGCTGACTTTGAACTTGCAACCCTCTTGTCTCAGCCTCGTGAGCCGCTGGGATTACAGAAGAAATGGGATTAACCCCATTTCTTAATCGTACTTAAATTTTAGGGGTCTTCTCTTAAAATTGAACTGTTTTCCTGAATCGTTTCTTAGAACTGGCTTTCTGGCTAGCACCGTGGCGTACACATAGAATCCCAGCTCCTTGGGAGGGAATCAGATGCGATTTAGGGCCATCCTGGGCAGCACAGCAAGGCCCTGTCTCAAGGCTGGGGACATAGCTCAGTAGCCCTGGGTTTGATCCCCTGTCCTGCCAAACAAAACAACAATAAAACCAMACCTGGCATTTTGAGAGTGATGGGTGGACGCTGCCATTTCCCATTTTTCCCTTTGACACTGCTGACGTGTGCTGCCGGGCCGGCGTCCTTCAGGGCCAGGCCTAGCACTGTCCCCCTTTGGGTTCTATTTGATGAACCCCGTCGGAAGCTCATGAGGGGGAGGACGAAGAGTGCCCCCGACCGCAGGCCCTGCCAGCACCGCTGCTTGGAGTACATCTCCTCGGGCAGCCTCTGGTGTCCACCCGCAGTCAGCAGGGACGGTCCAGTTAATGGGGTCTTTTTGTGCCTTGGTGCTTATTTCCTTGGTCTCATTTTGGAACTTCAGGGTGGAGATGGTGTGTACTTCCCTGCCCCCACAGAGGTGAGCTCATCCACGGAGAGATTCCCCCGAGCCACTGCCTGTCCACGCTGAGACTGCTAATGGCCTTGCAGTCCCTGGACACTCATGCCTGGGACTCAGTTTCCCAACCTCCTGAGCAGGCACCTTGACCACGTCTGTCCTGTATGCCGAGTTGTCAGAGCACTCTCCTCTCTTACAGCTCTACCACTTCCAGACCAATAAATGTCTGGTGGCCCAGGGCCGCCCCAGCCAGAAGGGCAGCCTGGTGGTGCTGAAGGCCTGCGACTACCGGGACCCGACGCAGATCTGGATTTACAATGAAGAGCAYGAGTTGGTTTTAAATAACCTCCTTTGTCTAGACATGTCCGAGACCCGCTCCTCAGACCCGCCTCGGCTCATGAAGTGCCACGGGTCGGGTGGATCCCAGCAGTGGACCTTTGGGGTGAGTGTGTGAGAAGGGTGGCCAATGAGCACCCGACCCGGGGATGCTTTTAATCATTCGTGCATGTTCCACGGCTCCGTTGGGCTCTCCTATCTTTATTGTGTTCAGTAAAACAAACAATCCCCGTTGCCTTTTTCAGAAAAATAACTGGCTGTACCAGGTGTCCGTCGGACAGTGCCTGAGTGTGGTGGACACCCTGGGTCCCAAGGGCTCCGTAGCCATGGCCATCTGTGATGGCTCCTCCTCACAGCAATGGCACCTGGAAGGGTGAGGGGTGCCACCCAGTCTGCCAGCCCAGCCCTGGGGTCCGGCTGGTGGGGATCCTGGAGAGGGCGGCCATCTGCAGGCAACCAGGAGTCTCCACTGAGACGTC